AAATAAATATAAATATGCATTAATTCATCTCACTCACAAAAAAACAACAACACAGATTCAGTATTCCTGAAAATGAATAAAAATAATGCAACTCAGAATATGACGCAAACCTACAATAATTAAATGTTAAAAAACACAAATATCCTTTATGTATTTAATCCCATTCTATTAACCAATATCTTTGCTTCTGACCTTCGATGATCCAGTTCAACCATACTAATAAGCAAAAATTACTCTAGACAAACATTTGTGTGTCTTTTTTTATTGCTGAAATGTGTTGAAATTTCTTCTTCTGCATTCTACTGTACGGACGTAAATTTACTTTCCCTTCAGCCTGAGGCTTATTCATTTCACTTTTGGTGTGAAAAGGCTTTTATATTTTCCAAAAATAGAACTTTTTTATTTTAAAAACAAACAAGCAAGCCCTGTCCAGATTTAAAAAGCAACGCAAAAGTAACGTAATGCATTACATTCCATAAAAAGTAACTAAGTAACGTAATTAGTTACTTTTTTATGGAGTAATGCAATATTGTAATGCATTACTCTTAAAAGTAACTTTCCCCAACACTGTCCAGTTCCGCAGATAAAGAACAATCAAGTCTTAAAAGCATCTGTTGGGTAATCTTGATTCTTTTGCACTAATGGGGATCCATCAGGAGTATGAGCAGGGGAAAACGTAAAGCTCGCCCATCGCAATGGTCCCTGGAATGACTGAGGCAGGGAGGTTAAAAACCATAATTGAATCAATAACCTGAAACCCTAATTTAATCTAGAACCAGCAGCGTTTGAGAGCTTTGTAACAAAGCACCATTTCAAAATAGCTCAGCCTCACTGACTCCAGTAGAGCCTGAGACAGGTGGAGATGACAGCTGCTTCCTGTCAGCTTCTGCTGTTGAATGTTGTTTGAGATGGGAGTTGCGGAACAAAGAAAATGGAAAACAGATCTGCAGCAGGAGACGTAACTTGTGGTTTTGCTGATTATAAATGCTGCAAAGAATCGATGATTCAGGCTAGTGGCGTGTGAATTAGCTGCATGTAAGCTGTTGCTTTCGCTCTGCTCAGGCTGTGAGCCGTGCATAAATACTGCACTCTGGCAGTGATGTAACTGGAGGTGAAGAATTTGAAGAAATGCCAAAGAACAACTTTGAGCTGTAGACCAGACAGAGAATGTGTACTAATGCTTGCACATTGACTATCAAAAGGTGTTTTCAGCTAAAATTGGCAGGAAATGATCAAGCATTAGTGTACTGTCTACAGCTCTAGGAATTGCTTTGGCATTTGCTCAGATTCTTCACCTCCAGTTACATCACCCCACTTGCCAGGAAATAAAAGAAAATGTTTCATTACATTTGCCATTATATTGTTATTTATCCTACTTACCGCACCCCTAACACTGGCCAAATATTAAATATATATACAGTACATACTGTATATATATATATATATATATATTATATATACACACACACACACACACACACACACACACACACAATAAATACATAATAAATTATTAATTATTCTATAGATAAACAATAAATTATGGGTTAATAAAACACTACTTTGGAATGATTTAAATAATTTACTTTGTAATTAAAAGCAATCCAACAAATGCTATCATAATATATTATTACTTGAGAATGAGTAAAATCAATATAAAAATCTATATAAAACGGTGCTATAGTAAATGACAAGTTTGCATACATCAGTTGAGCAACTACAGTATGTGGTTTTTCAAAAACCATGCTTTCAGTATACATTTTATTTTGAATCAGGGCACAGTGCAACAGTGATTAGTAGAGACTGGGTTTCCTGATTAATCTGTCTGCATTTGGGGCAGAATCGTACACCTAGGAAAAATACATCCCTCATGACACTCATTATTTACAGCTTCTATATGGCTTACCTCTGTCACAGCGACATTTCTCATGATGATATTGAAAGCTTCCAGACGCTTTCATCTGAGCACCAGCTGTCTGCTATGAAGACGCATTTATGTTTCTTCTAAATCATCTTCTCATCACCTTAAAAGTGGTACAATGTCTCCCTGTAGGGGCCACAGACGCATATAGTGCACAAGTCACCCCGGCGAGGAGATGGAGTAAAGTGCTATTCAGATCAGTTCAAAAATGAAACTGAAGATGAGTTGGTGTAGCACAGATAGAAGGAATGCAGATGTGTGCTTTCTAGCAGTCTGTGTTGAGGTAAAACCCATTTGTGCTAAACGGATGAGAACATCACATTATAGGAGAGAATTGAGCTCTTCAAAGAGCATCCATCCAAGGGACAGCAGTTTCCATTCTTTGATTGAGAAAGAATCTCAAGCTGATTGATTGGTTAGATACAGAGAATTTAAATGTGGCTATTTCAGTTCGATTTCACTTCAAAGATTGTAATAAGATATCCTCTAATAATTTTTCATATATTCCATAACTTATTTTGTTCTGGATCAGAGTTGTTATCTTGCTAATTAAATAAGCTTGCATTATTTTCTGTTGCATGAGGTGCTCTCTTTACGGCTACACTTGGATCAAACTTCGTATTACGCTTCCAGTCTAGACCGACAGACTCTGAATCTGCCCTTGTGTACCTGCCCTTCAGCTGCCCACACGCTCGTTTCTCACACCTGAGAAACAGTTCCTGTTGATCCCAGTATAGTACTCCCATCTGCTCTCCAGGCTTCCTGTTGGGCTGAGTGACCTGTTTCTGATCCGCCCTCTCTATTAATGATACATCTGATCATCAAAGGCTCATTAAAGTTAGACAGCTCATTTGGATCATCACCTCAGTAGGATGCCTTGACCATGACAAACTGTATGTCGAAAACTACAGTTTGCTTAACAAAAGAGGATCTATTTATTGTTTGTTCTATTTGGAATGACTAGAATGTGTGAGGAATCATCAAAATTCAAAATACATGGCTGGATGTTTTATGTACTGCTTGATACATAGGTTCATCAATGAAGGCTCTATTTATTCTTATGGGTTTAGGGTTAGTGTAGTGAAGGGGCATGATGTATGTAGTAATTTTTAGTCTTTGTGGGGTCCGACTAACCCTTGGACCTCACAAAGTAAAACAACACATACAAACACACACACACACACACACACACACACACACACAAACAGACTTTGAACAACATTATGTTGTGACCTCAAAACATAGTGCATGATTAGTAAACTCATATATCTGGTACCAGCTCCATATGTTTGGCTATTCAGACGTGGTAAACTTGTTCAGTAGCGCACCCGGTACATTATTGTACTTGCGATGTGGAGAACTCAAGCTCAGTAAAACACAAGCCATGATAAAAGAGCTTGTAGCAGCAAACTAAAACAGCATGGTTGCTTCAGAAAATGCATTTCTATTTCACATTTGCCTTTGTTAACACTATTGGTTTGGTTTACGGTGGGGTTTAGTGTAGGTGGTACAATATTAGAGCAGTGGTTCTTAACCATGTTCCTGGACCACTGCAACACTGCACATTTTGCATGTCTCCTAAATCAAACACCTGATTCAGGGTCACATATCATTTCCTGCTGCCGCAATACGTACAACATAATAAAATGTTGCCAGATTAATCTGTTTCAGACGAAAAACTCAACATGCTTTTAGCGTCACTCACTTTTAGCAGACATTTCACTTGGAAAACATCGCAAAATGTGCAAGAAGAAAAGTAATATCATTTTGTAAAAATGTTGCCACAGGCAAGTTTTTCCAATGAGCCTGGGTTGCTATATTATTATTATTATTATTATTATTATTTATTTTATTTTTTTTTACATTTAATTTAGTTGTCTCTGTAAATATATACATGGATTTATTATTTTTGAGATGTGATACACAGTGGTTTTAAAATTGCACAAAAGACTAGGTTAAATTGTTCTGCCCTTTGCAAGTAAATACTTCATAATTTATTAAAATTGCATTGACTGTCAGTATGGCTTTTAGAGTTCCAGTCCATTTTGATGATGAAACTATTTGTTTATTTTTGGCTGATACCAATTTTGATTTTCATTACCACATTAAATGATCTGTCACTTGAATGGAGTATTAATCATTTGTAAGACGTGCTTCTCATACAATGACCTAAACTCCAGTCTTATCTCTTCCCAGCACTCTGTAGATGCAGTGAACGCTGGTGTCAGTCCTATTGGAGACACGTCATACAACTCCAGTCACTGGGACTTAGGGAGCTCCTTTTTCTTCGCTGGAACTGTGATAACAACAATAGGTAGCACCTAAGCATCCCTGGATATTATACATACATTTCAAACTGCTACCATAAGGCGGAAGACTCCACACCTCATTAATATGTATAGCTCAAGCCAAGTACAAGGAATTTGCTTGTGTCATACATTTATAGTCTCGCTTTCGGTCTGTATGCCTGACCCCATAACCACCAATCAATCTTTTTTTTTTCTTCAGCCACATTTAAATGGCATGTGTGAAACTGTGCCTGCTTCAGCTGTCAATCCAAATAAAATTACTGATGCTTTCAGAGTGATTCACTGATTTTTAGACACATTTTAAAGTCTCAGTAAGATAAAAAAAAGGGGGGGGGGGGGAAAAATCAAAGCTAAAAATAATGCATATATAATAAAACACCACAAAGCATGTGCATTTTTAGAAATACATAGTCAGGAATGGAAAGAGAGGCTATAGAAGCTTGTTTCCCCCAAAGAATGAAAAAATAAAATAAAAAAAGGTATTTGTGACTTTTTATATTACAATTTTTGTGAGATCATTTAAACTTTTTTCCTCATAATTCTGATTTTTTTTTATCACAAAATTTTCAGAATTGCAAGTTATAAACTCCGAATTGTGATATATAAACTCAGAATTGCGCGATTCTGAGAAAAAAAAAAAGTCAAAATTACTAAATGATAACTCACAATTGCGAGATATAAATGCTATATAAGCAAAGTTGCAATTACCTTTTTTTATTCCCTGGCAGAAATGCAAAACAAAATCCTGACGTATTCTCAGAATTGCGAGTTTCTATCTCACAATTTGGATTTACTGCAAGTTATAAACTCGCAAAAAGACTCAAATTGCAAGTTTATATCTCACAATACAATCTCACAAAAAAAGTTGAGAGATATAAACATAGAATTGCAAAAAAAAAAACATCAGAATTGTGAGGTAAAAAGCCTTTGTTTCATTCTGCGGCAGAAACACTGTGCATTAATTCACTACTTGCAGTTATATGGCACATTCCATTGGAGGTTTGATGTAATGCATTTGAAGTCCATAAGCTGCCCGCTGTGTTACCTGCCAGGGCCTGTGACTGATTACTTAAAGACAGGGGCGTAGCCATCATTTCAGAAGTGAGGGGGACAGAAATGTTATATATATATATATATATATATATATTCTGTCCCCCTCACTTCTGAAATGATAGCTACGCCCCTGTCTTTAAGTAATCAGTCACAGGCCCTGGCAGGTAACACAGCGGGCAGCTTATGGACTTCATTTGAATTTAAATCTATATTTATTCACACCGGCTCTTGAAAACCTCTATGCGAACACACTTGCCCGAAAAAGTGCGGGGGATGAATTTACGTGATATTAAAAGTGAGGGGGAAACGTCCCCCGCGTCCCCCGCGTAATCTACGCCCCTGCTTAAAGAAGCAGTTGTGCAATACAGGTTAGTATCTAAATGCTGACAGGACTCTCAATGTCATTGGCTCAGCCATCCAGCAGGCAATGGACAAAGGCATAAACAAGATTAGTTTTTACACTTCAGTTGCCAAACCTTCCAACATGCTCTCAGTAGACACATTTTGATCCACGGGGACCACAGTAGGTAATTTCCTACGAAGCACTTTTAACCTGCAGAGTGTATCTGACTGGAATCCGTTGGAATTAACAGATTGATTGAAGTCTGGATTTATATATAGCAAGATTAGAAGACGTTTATGACGTTTCTTTCATTTGATTTTGTGTAGTTTGAATAGGCCACGAAGTAAACATCGATGTAATTATCCACATGGAATTATCCCATTACCATTATATGGCAGATTTTCATTGCATCACATCCTTCATATGTCACATGGAATATACAGTTGTTAATTTGTTTTTCAGCTGCGTCTTAATTTACACCATTACTCTCTTATCTTTTTAAGGTTATGGCAACATCGTTCCAAGAACAGAGGGTGGGAAGATTTTCTGCATCCTTTATGCAATATTTGGCATCCCACTCTTTGGCTTTCTTTTGGCTGGTGTTGGTGATCAACTAGGGACTATTTTTGTGAAGAGCATTGCTAAAGTGGAGAAAATGTTCAGGGTAAGTGAACTGTGGAGCACAAAACTAGGGTTAATGAAAACAAGGCTGTGAGGGATAGATGCACAATCTGTTTAATAGGCTCTATGGTAAGGTACCCTTGTAAAGGCTGTAATACACTACATCGAGTTTACAAAATAAAACTATATGGTATTTATTTTCACAAATGAAACTAACAATGTATTTTAATGCTAAATGTTCTAATATGCTAATATGCTAAATGTTTACCATGGTAATTAGCATTTCAAGTGATAGGTTTATGACATTAGAGTATGCAAGGTCACTTCTTTTCATGACTTCCTGGAAGGTATTAGTCAGGAATATCGCAGCACTTGTTTATAATAGTTTAGTCAGACCCTGCACAGCAGAGGTAATAAACACAGAACTGTGGCTCCTGATAGCAGCAGGCTCCAGCATGCTGAGGCAGCGGCATCTGCAGTACGGGTTGAGATCACACCTCATTAGAACTAATCAGTCTCATTCAGATCATCATTAGGCCCATCAGAGAGCTAATGGACACATGCCACCTTCACATAGTCACGAAATGTCTTCTTGTGCCACATGTAGCCGCTGCTGGCAATGAAGTCATGCTGTTTGCATGACTAAGAATGGCTCTTGTACGATGTCGCTTCATCTTTCATGTTGATATTGCTTTTTGTCTGTTTCGCCCCCCCAGCGCAAACACAATCAAATAAGCCAGACCAAGATTCGAGTGGCCTCTACATTGCTCTTCATCTTGGCTGGCTGCATCCTCTTCGTCACCATACCAGCCATCATCTTCAAGCATATTGAAGGTTGGACCGGGCTGGAGGCGATCTATTTCGTGGTGATCACACTGACGACTGTTGGGATCGGAGATTATGTTGCAGGTACGGACAGCATTTGGAATTAATGGGGGAAAACCCTCACTTCCCTATACTTCCCTATACTTCTCACTAGTTTCATTTATCCATGAACCATGTCTAACAGTAGACTTGTAGAATTTTGTCATTTTTATTTCTGAAAGTCTTGAAATTGTCATTGTCAAATGATCATTTGACATTTAGTTTCTTGTGGAGTTTAGTTTCTGTCAAGGAACAGGTCCAGTGGCTTTTGGTTTGCTTTGTTAGGCAAATTGGCTGGAGGGAAGAAATTTACCTACGCAATTGATTGGATTTCATTATAGCCTTTGTTTCCATTTAGTACTACTTTTCCAACACAGTCCATATAAAATCAATTTATTGTCTTTCTGAAGCTTCTCTGCTTGCAGACACCATGAGTTGTCAAGAAAAACCGAGCTAGTCTGATTGCAGTTCTCAGGAAATAGCTTACATGAAATTGGCAGGAGGTTTTGATGTGTGCCTCAAAAGGCGTGCTTGTAGATTTAAAATACAATCAAATGCTCCCACCTCTGAAATGAAAGTGTCATTTATACATCTCTTGCAATCTCTTCCAGGAGGCAATAGAAGAATAGAGTACCGTGAATGGTACAAACCGCTGGTGTGGTTCTGGATACTGGTTGGAATGGCTTACTTTGCTGCAGTTCTAAGCATGATTGGAGACTGGCTCAGGGTGCTTTCTAAAAAGACAAAAATGGAGGTGAGACTTTTGTTAGCACTACATTTACCTTGAGTAATCCTGCTAAATTTTCTACTTGTTTTAATAGAATTTTCTATTTTCTACTAGTGATCAATGACGTGATGTGACACTAATCGATTTACTCAGAAATACACACAAAAAAAATGACATTTATACAAATAATAACTATAATACTTCTCTTATATGATGAACATGTTTTTAATTTCTGTATTATAATTTATTTTGATATTTTTATGAGCATAAATCTATATTATAATGAAGAAGAAATAATCCTTAAAATGAAATCCTTTGTAACAACAACAATAATAGTGATAATAGTAATCTTTTTTAACAAAACTGTTTCACTGCTTTTAATATCTGAAAAGCTTTTGTACAGAAAATCAGTCATGTGGTGCAAATAACATGCAAAAACGGCTGAAATGTGTATATATATATATATATATACAAACACACACACACACACACACACACAC